GTCAAATCATGTTGAACCTCAAGCATCACTGCTGGGCGATTAAAATTTCCAGGGAAAGAATATTCATGAGCACGGGGCGAGTGTGGGGCTGAATCCGAAGGAGAATGAAACCGATTGACGACTTAAGCGCTCATCTTGAATCCAGATCACACCAATGTCGGGCATGCAAAACCGCAGAGAACTCATTGTTTGGTGCCAGAAGAAATCCTCAACCGTAGCAACCAAATTGCACAACGGTGGGGCGGCTGGTGATCCCATAGCGACTCCTCGTTCTTGACGGAACAAGTATCCGTTGATCTCGAAGTGACTGTTGTCAATGACAAAGTCCAGAAGGTGCCGGAGATCTTGTTCACGAAAAATCCTAGGACTCTTGGTTTGACGGCGCCACTTTCCTTTGAACATACGGCGTCGATGATCTGACTTTACTTCGTACACTGACCATTGAGAGGAACTGCGAAGGCCAACAACTTGATCGTATCGATGAAGAAGCACTTGCAGCGCCGTTGACCAAAATATCCACCACTGAGCCAGCTACATGCAAACAAAGCACAATGCATCAACAACTGTCCCAAGCATGCACAAGAATAGACAGCATGACAAGCTCACATGCAGATTTTGTCCCGAGTCGACGCCGAACGTCACGCAGAAGGTGAGGTTCAATACCTTTGGCCTCATAAAGGCGTTTGAGAGCGTCGAGCCCATGCTGCTGCTGAACCGCCGGTTGTGCACCGCGTATGATGAGCCACGAGCGAGAAGACCAAGAAGAATAAGTAAACATCTGATCATTGGCACTCCGAATTCCTTTGATTTGGGAGGGATGATCAGGTAGCTGTGGTGTAATAGTCCGGGAGGAAGAGTCACATCGATAACCCAGCACTTTGTCATCATGTCGAACCTCGAGCATCACTGGTGGGCGATAAAATTCCAGGGAAAGAAAATTCATGAGCACGGGCGAGTGTGGGGCTGAATCTCGAAGGAGAATGAAACGATTGTCGACGTAGCGCTCATGCCAGATCACACCAATGTCGGGCATGCAAAACCGCAGAGAACACATTGTTTGGTGCCAGAAGAAATCTTCAACCGTGGCAACCAAATTGCATAACACCCAAAAAAGCAAAAAATGTAAAAAACTAAAACAAAACAACGGTGGGTAGCGGCTGGTGATCCCATAGCACTCCTCTTCTTGGCGGAAACACGTATCCGTTGATCTCGAAGTGACTGTTGTCATGACAAAGCCAGAGGTGCCGGAGATCTTGTTCACGAAAAATCCAAGGAATCCTTGGGTTTGACGGCGCCTCTTTCCTTTGAAACATACGGCGTCGATGATCTGACTTTACTTTCGTACACTGAACCATTGCGAGAACTGCGAAGGGCCAACAAACTGATCGTATCAGATGAAGAAAGCGCTTGAGCGCCGTGACCAAAATATCCACCGAACAGCCCAGCAACAATGCAAACAAAGCACAAGCATCACCAAACTGTCCCCAAGCATGCACAAGAATAGACAGCAAACAAGCTCACATGCAGATTATTGGCCCGAGTCGAGACGCCGAACGTCAACGTAGAAGGTAGGTTCAAACACTTGGCCTCATAAAGGCGTTTGAGAGCGTCGAGTCCATGCTGCTGCTGAACCGCCGGTTGTGCACCGCGTATGATGAGCCACGAGCGAGAAGACCAAGAAGAATAAGTAAACATCTGATCATTGGCACTCCGAATTCCTTTGATTTGGGAGGGATGATCAGGTAGCTGTGGTGGAATAGTCCGGGAGGAAGAGTCACATCGATAACCCAGCACTTTGTCATCATGTTGAACCTCGAGCATCACTGGTGGGCGATAAAATTCCAGGGAAAGAAAATTCATGAGCACGGGCGAGTGTGGGGCTGAATCTCGAAGGAGAATGAAACGATTGTCGACGTAGCGCTCATGCCAGATCACACCAATGTCGGGCATGCAAAACCGCAGAGAACTCATTGTTTGGTGCCAGAAGAAATCCTCAACCGTAGCAACCAAATTGCACAACGGTGGGGCGGCTGGTGATCCCATAGCGACTCCTCGTTCTTGGCGGAACGTCGGGTCAGCAGCAACGCTATTGTACTTCCACCATGAGAGAATCAGACCCGACAACATTCAAATCAATGCAAATGCAAGTTAGCGGCCCTCAACTGCAAGCAATGGTCGAGCGAAATGTACAAGGCAAAGCAAATACAAGTCAGCAATCGACAACCGCAATGATACGAGCAACAAGTTCAACCAATGGTCAGGGTAGGCAATGAAAATCGGCAGCTATCAACTGTGGTGAGACGTCACTATGAACTGACGGCTTTCTTCCCTTTAGTGAAACCTCGTTCCTGATTAAATGTGAAATTCCGCTGTTCTATGATACGCACGTTGAGGTCAAATTTTCCGACAGAGCCGGCCCGGGGTCACACAATGGGTACACCCGAGGATTCCCCACGAATGGGGTGTACACACTTGAACTCCAGATGGAGAGTGCTAATCTTTCGAGTACAACTGGTGAGTCTCGAGTACAACCGACAAGTCTCGAGTATGGTGAGTTTCGGCTCGCAATGTATTCGGCTTCCCTCTAGTGTCGAAAACGTTACCAGAAAGAACAAGAAGCACAAACAGCGCCGCAACCAAGGGGCCAAAAGGACTTTCAGAATCACTGAAGCAGGTACAGGTGTCCACGTCTGGACACCCTTCCCACCTTTGGCAATAGCTTCATTGCGTGCAGTATGCCAAAGGTGCTGCACGCCCCTGCTGCGAAACCGAAAGGGTGGTGACAGGGCATTCTGTCACTCCGCACACACACACACACACACACACACACACACACACACACACACACACACACACGCACATGCACACGCACACGCACACGCACACGCGCAGGCACAGGCACAGGCACAGGCACAGGCACAGGCACACGCACGCGCGCAGGCTCAGGCGAACGCTCACTGCACACGCACACGCACGCGCACACAAACACGCACACGCACACGCGCAGGCACAGGCACAGGCGCAGGCACAGGCGCAGGCACAGGCACAGGCACAGGCACACGCACGCGCGCAGGCTCAGGCGCAGGCGCACGCTCACGCGCACGCGCACGCGCACGCACACCCACACGCACACGCACACGCACACGCGCACACGCACACGCACACGCACACGCACCGCCCGACACACACACACACACACACACACACACACACACACACACACACACACACACACACACACACACACACACGCACACACACGCACACACACACACGCGCACACACACACACAATGATCATGGCTCAAACAAGTAGCCCCCGACCATGTGTTCCTGTGTTCCTTTGTTCCTGGTCTTGTGGTCTTGTGGTCTTGTGGTCTTGTGGTCTTGTGGTCTTGTGGTCTTGTGGTCTTGTGGTCTTGTGGTCTTGTGGTGGGTTGAGGCTTTGGGTTGGTTTAGGGTTGGGTTAGGAGCGTGGGTTAGCAGTATCCAGGAGATACAGGGTCTGGGGGGCCGGGAAGGCTGGGGGCCCAACATCTGAGGGCTCCTCTATTCTTGTGCTTAATGTCACAAACCATTCTCTATACACATGTGCATAAGCATATTATATCATGTGTCATACCAACACAACTACACAAACAAACAAACGATAAATACATACCACCACAATCAACAGAGACCCATGAAAGGAGCTTCGGCTTGATGGCCATGCCGAACCCCTGGCTAGCTGGTTGACTAACTGAGATGCACGGTCGCAGTGGAAATTGGGCTAGAAGGATCCAGCTGCTGTGGATGCCCAGAGATACTTTTTCCCCCAAGAGGACATGGGAGTCGCGGTGAGTCCTCTGGTTTTTGTGGGGAATTTGGTGAGTTGCCCCGTGTCTGTCCCAAATAAACCCTCTACTGGTATTTGTTCAAACCTGGCATCGCATTTCCTGCTTGTGGTGAATGGGATGCTGACAAACAAGCGGAGAATCAAATTCTACTGCCTTTAAAGGGTTGCTTTTGATACCCTTCTTCTGGGCCCCCAAAAGTGTAGACACCAAAGCTCCCTGAGGTGGATCTGGCAACCTCTACCTCAAGTGCCGCCATTCCGAACCTTGACGCTGTCCCCATCCCATCCTCTGGCCCACAAATGGCGCGTTTCCAATCCTGAAGGTTTGCTTGTCCTCTGCGGTCAGCTTGCAAATCTCCCAGAAGCTATCAAGTCACCGATCGTCTATTCGGATCTTTTAACCAAGCTGATTGCCTCTGGCGATTTTCCTTTGGAGGGTCATCCCATTTTCCTGCTCCGCTTTTTTCCTAGATGTCTTAAGGCTACCCTTGCTGGGTTGGTTTTAAGGGAAAACCAACAGAAAACACACACTCATTTTAGGGGCAAGCCGTATCCTGTCTAAGACAAACCCACATGGAGCTCTATATTGCTAAGCCAAGCAACTGTTGCCCAAAGCCCGCCCCCCAAACCTTGAAGGGCGCTTGATAACCCGGCAATCATTTCCGTCTTTGCATGTTAAGGAATTGGAAGTGCTGATGTCCCAGATGAACAATCCGGATATTTTGACCATGCCTTTGATTTCCCTGACTCTCCGCAAGATGTTGGTGGTGATCTCGGACCTTTGTTGAAGGATCCTTTGAAGGACAAGGTTTCTGAATCTTGATTACCCCCAAAGTAGACTTAGACCCAGGGGTGCTTGATTTCCCAAGAAGGAGAACCCCCAGGTTTTAATGCTCATTGAGGGAACTAAGAAAAATAATCCTGAGCAGGGCACTTCCCTTGAGCTGTTGTAATTGCGTCTGATGCGGTTATGTCAAGTTCGGATCAATCAGGACCATAGTAATAAGGAAGCTCACCGTGGTCCTACGGATTGCGGGTAAGCTACTTGGTCAATGTTTATTTCAAGTAAGTAACCAAAGCATTAAAGAAGATTAGGGCGGCTCATCAATACAAAATCAGCCTGGCGGATTGCAGCGCCGCCGGTCCCCCGTCAGCAAAAGCCTGGCCTCTCTTTCGGACTGTACTTCAGCAGGTTCCGGATGAGAGTTTTCGCGTCCTCGGAGACCTCGGGGCAAAGAATATGAATACTGAGTATATTCAAAATACTTGATGGGTGCGGATTTATTTCGTTTTTCCCCCTTTGTTCCCCCCGAAAGAATACCCTCCATATTTAATGCAACATGAATCAACATGATCCGTATTCAAGAATTGCAACACTATGTTAAGGATTCTAAGGATAGGATGGGCTTGAACTGGTGAACAGCAACCAACAGGATCAACATGTTGACGTTGCGAAGACGGTGCTTGACGCTTGGTGTTCAGCAGCTTCTCAGTCTACCTCCATTTGCTTAAGCCCCACCACACAACATAGACATGATTTGTCCAATCATGATAAATTCCCTTGAAAACCAACAGGGGAACATGGAGAAAAAACAAAACGAAAGAAACACATGGTTGTGGGTCAAAACCAATGGTACCTTTTTGGGGTAGGTGAATTCACCAGCCATTTTAGAACCTATTTTCGTGGGGATTCGGATATTCACTGGGGGCTAACCGGTTTGGCTTGTGACCCACCATATGAAGGAAGTCCAGTGGCAACCGTCCACTTCGCCATACGCAAGGCGCAAAACCGGACCCCCCGGCAGCCACCGAGCGCCCGGGGCCCGGGCGTTCTTCCAGTCGTCGCGGTTGAAGCTGAAGGAGCCCTTGGAGACCTGAAGGAGTTGGAGTCACAACTTGCTGGGATTTGTAGGGGAATGAGGGAATGATTTCTTTATCGGCCATTTTGAAAGCCATGTTGAAAGTGATTTGAACTTGATCGGCCATTTTAGCCAGCCTAAGTTCCCCTTCCCCATTGTGCGTTGACCGTGTGTCCAACCCGACGTGGCCGTCTTCATTCGAAGCAACTGGCACCCTTGGTCCAAAGTGTCAACGTTGAATCCACAAAGCCATCAGCCACCAAGGCTGCAAGGTGCAAATAGGAAGCCTCTTGAGCACAGCGTCAGCTGGGAAAAGACTCCGCTAGAAACGCATCCAGCTTCAGAACGCCTTTCAGTCGGAAGTCGGATGCCTGTGTCTGCAGGCGCTGTTGAATTTTTGAAGGGCTAGACCACATACCCCAGATACGCGCGCCCAACCGCTCATATGATTGAATGTAAATATGTATACAATGTATGCTCCAAAAGCCTTCGTGATACATTTGGTTTTCAGAAGATTTGTGGGTCTGGAAGAAGTCCAGGATTGCCTCGATGTGTTGAAGCTCTGGATTTGGGGAGCCTTTTTTCTTTTTTTCTAACGCCAAGCCAGCTTTTTGACCTCTATTTTGCTTTGTGGTTTATGGCCCGCCTCAAAAGAGGGGGGGAAACCAAGACAGAGTTCCTCTCAATTTCCAGCGTTCAGAATACAGTGGCGCCAGATCTTCCCAAGGGCGGGCATGAAATTTGAGTCATGTTTGAGGTCCCCTGTGAAAGCTTATTGTGAATCAGCCCAGCCCAAATCTTTGCCGCACGTTCGGGCCAGGAATATATTTCCGTCAATCGCTATGGTGATTGCTTTCCTTTCAATCACGGCCTCCATATGTGGGTCATGGTCGTAGTTCCCCGTTTCAATCCTCTATACTAGAAGGAGGTTGATGAGCATCTCTACCAACTTGACGCAAAAAGCGGTTTTCTGACCATGGCACATGTGAAAGTAGAATCTCAGCCAACCTGAGACAATCAACATGTCCCATGTCAGCAGGAAGGGTCCTGAAGATTCTTTGGCGTGACGGCAACCCAACGCTGGCACCCGGGAGCCTTCTGCAACACCTTCTTGTCAGTGTCACCCCAAAAAGGAGGATAGCCGCAAAGAAGCACGTACCTGTCAGGGAAAGGACGATGACGGCGGCGACGATCAGTGACCATCCACGACATCCTGCAATAGGGGAACCCCCAACATGAAAGGTTTACCGTTGGCTTGCAGGCAACTGACTCCAAACAAAAACATATTCATTTGGATATCAATGACCCCAGGAGCAACACCTGTCGGAAATCTTGGGTTGCTTTTTGAGCAAGAGTCTCGGGTCGGCGTCCTCGGTCTTTGCAATTCTTTTCAAAGCCGAAGGCTTTCGGGGCCGAAACAAATGGGTTCAACCGGCGCTCGCAAGTGTTCAAGCGGAGTAACTGTGCTCTTGCGTCTGCACACAACTTAAACACCAACCATTTGTAAGTAAATGTAGCAAACGTGAATGGCAATATGCTTCCCATAACCCATGACATAATTCAAACACTTAAGAAATTGAGTCTTAAGAAGCCTTGTAGGTCCCCTCCTCACCCAACACCCAACACCGGGGTGCATGATCACTCCGCAGCTCCAAAGATCTGCGGCCTGATCATATTTGCCCTCCAAGACCTGCGCGGATGGCTCGTAACGTTTGGGCCAGGAGCAAAAAAACAAAGGGCCTCCTCTTTTTTGGGGCTAACCCAAGGAAAAGGGACAATTGGTTTTCAACCGTCGCGTTCGGCAAAACAAGCCACTTCCCCATGGTTTTTAGTGAACTTTAGTGGTTTTTTTTGGAAACTTCACCAGGATGGGGAAGCTGCTCCTAGAGGCTTGCTACTCCCTACAAATTGACAGAAATGTCAAACCAAAAAGGTGTCTGCAATCAAACAGGCCTGACTGTACAACTAACTCTCGGCACCGGCATCCTAACCATAGGGTTATAACCGCCTTCCCTGACGAAACCATCCCCTGGGGTGTCCACGTTATGGCCCATAGCCGGTGCAAGCCGCAAGACCTTGCCACCTTGCCAGCCGGACCCCTTGGTTTCATGAGACAGCCCTGCTCTAAAAACTCCTGTGACCCGGTGCCAAACCCCTGGGCCTCCCATGTCTTATCTCACCAGATCCATGATCCACATACCTCCTAGACTACCGGACGTCTCCGGTTTTCCCCAAAATCCCGCAAAAAAGAAAACACATCAGTACGGGCGTTGGCTCTTGACAGCCCGTTGCCTGCGGCGCCACATAGAAGGGCGTTCCGGCTTTGGTGGTCATCGGCTGGCGCGGCGAAGAAGGGTTACTTGCGATGGAACGAGGTCCGAGTTGCCAAGGAGATTCGTTTGTGGTTGCCAGGGACGTGTTTTTGGTGTCAGCGCCCCTAGGATGCCAGGATGTCACGTAAGGGGGGCTGAGGGGGGCTGGGGGGGGCGGGGGGGTAATAACGTTCGGCGCACATATACGCACATTGGCGTGCACACCAGGTGACGTGGACGGCCTCGGCCTCAGGCACGCGCACAGACACACATCTACACTGACCATGCTTGATTATTTTTGTTGGCTGTTGTTGACGTCACGCATGTTTTCACGGGGCCGCCGTTTGTCTCAGAATGTATGTGGCAATTGCGTTTGCGTGCGGGCCATGAATGGTCTGACTTCCCAGTGAGGTATTCTCTTGCGTTGCTGCTGTGGCGTTTGGCCATGTCCTTGAAAGTTGGTCCCAGCAAAGGCAAAGCCTGTGGAAGCCACGCAGGAAATCCTCAGGTCAGAAATCATGAAGCACCTGCGATCGCGCACCTCGCGCTACATCGACGGAGCGATGTTGTGAAGCGCTCCAAGGGACTCGTGGTCAAGCGCCGTGGAAAACGCGGTGGCACGCAGCAACTTGACAATTGCAGCACCTCAGAAAATCCAAATTCCGCCTCATTTGACCACTCGTGTCAAAGGCAAAATCCGAGAGAGCATGTTGTGGGAGATTTTGCACGCCTACATGGTCCGAAGAGAACATCAGGCGGACTTGTTTTTCCAGTTTCGGCAGCTTTGCCGCTCCGCGCGGTGAAAGTTTCGCTGGACTCTCTTTGTGTAGAAAGTAGTGAAAAACCGTGGCCGCAGTGGCAGTTCCTGAAAAGAAAAGGCGCGCGTTGTGGCAGTTTTGCAAGCAGTTGGCACATGCAAGTGTGCAGGAACAAGCTAAAAACCCTCACGCACGCAACAACAACTCCTTTGACCGGTCCTTGTTAAAAAGTGTGAAAGCCCGGCCTCCTACAGGCGCAGTCACCATGTTTTTGTGGTTGCTGGGGACATGTTTTTGTGGTTGCTAGGGACATGTTTTTGTGGTTGCCAAAAAAGTGTCTTTGTGGCTGCCAAGGATATGTGTTTGTGGTTGCCAGGCATATGGGTTGCCAAGGACCTTTGCAAACGGTTGCCAAGGACCTTTGGGTCAACAATGAGAGTTCTTCAACCCGAGGCATTGTACAAAAAGCGAGTTCTTCAAAGAGTAGATGACAAGCACCATGTGAATCTATCACGTGGGTATCCCAAACTCACATTCTACTGGCATTGAAGTGGTCACTGGATGGGACTCAACCACTCAAATATCCACAAGCACACATTTGTCGCAAGAAGAAACAGCAAATTCAATCTCAGTGATCATTTGACGGGAAGCAATCACTTTGGTATCAAAAGCATGATTTCCACAGTCATTCGTAGTCATTGGACAAAAAACAACCATATGGTATCTGTCCGAACCATTCTTGTGGTCATTGGCTGGAACACAAGTAACGGCATTGGATGGGAATCAAATCCCTTGGTTGTCACAAACAATATGTATACATATATAGATTCGCGCTGCATGCCCCAGCCACGTTGGTATCTAGAAAGCATATTTTCCACTCACAGGGCAAGGTTCGGGTGAGTAACTGCTTACACGCGTGGCGGTCAGAATTTTTGCGGAACAAGGTGGAAACGTTGGCGAAACAAGTCCGTGTGTGTGTGTGTGTGTGTGTGTGTGTGTGTGTGTGTGTGTGTGCGGAGTGACAGAATGCCCTGTCACCACCCTTTCTATTTCGCAGCAGGGGCGTGCAGCACCTTTGGCATACTGCACGCAATGAAGCTATTGCCAAAGGTGGGAAGGGTGTCCAGACGTGGACACCTGTACCTGCGTCGTGATGTTGCTGAAAGTCCTTTTGGTCCCCTCCCTGAACCGCCGTTGTTTGTGTTTCCCTGTTAAAGTACCTCCAGGGAAGCCAAGTGCATTGCGAGCCGAAACTCATCGTACTCGAGACTTGTCGGTTGTACTCGAGACTCATCAGTTGTACTCGAAAGATTAGCACTCTCCATCTGGAGTTCAAGTGTGTACACCCCATTCGTGGGGAATCCTCGGGTGTACCCATTGTGTGACCCCGGGCCGGCTCTGTCGGAAAATTTGACCTCAACGTGCGTATCATAGAACAGCGGAATTTCACATTTAACCAGGAACGAGGTTTCACTAAAGGGAAGACAGCTGTCAGATCATAGCGACGTCTCACCATAGCTGCTGAAGGCTGCTGACTTGAATCGCATTGGCTTGCATTTTGTTGGATTCGTTGCTCTTACCATAGCTGCTGATGGCTGCTGACTTGAACTTGCATTGACCTGCATTTTGTCGGATTCGTTTCTATCACCATTGCTACTGATGGCCGCTGACTTGAACTTGCATTGACTTGCTACTGATCGCCGCTGACTTGAACTTGCATTGACTTGCATTTTGTCGGATTCGTTTCTCTCAAGGTGGAAGTGTGCAAATTCCGAGTTAGTTGCGTCACCATGTCTCGACGTGATGATCGTGACAGATCCAGGACTCGACGCAGACGTGATCGGAGTCCTTCCCCTCAAGCTCGTAAAGCACACCGACGCGAACACAATGACAACCAGGTCTCGGAGAACATGGATTGGAACAACTCGGTTTCATGGCAACACAACTCCGGCTACAACGCTGCCAACAACTTTCCGATGGTGCCTACCAACTTTCAATCGACTCACAACCCCACACAGCAATTCCAATACCCGGCGATCAACTACATGATGCCGATCCCTCCTGAACCCACGCCATCCAAGTTCATGCCACCAATGATGCCACCACCGGTCACTACCTCCCAACACCTACACCTTCACCTGGACCTCCTACAGCTCTACCGGTTCGTCCTCAGAAAGCCTGGCTTACTCCCTCGCCTGACTGGACACCTGCAGACGGCATGTTTGATGTCAACCAACTCTACAACTTTAGCCTGCCCATGACTGTTGCCAACACTCCACATGGCAACCTTCGCGACATGTCAGGCATGGATATTAGGGACGTACGCCTGGTTCAGGTTATCCACGGGGGCCTCACCAACTGGCTACTCAGGCCGTTTGCACACGGCCGATTCGTGACGTGGAAAGGCTTTCGCACCCGCACTGAGGCCTTACTTTGTACCTGCTCCAAATTACTACGAATATCGCAGTCACTCAACCTGCTCACCCTGGAAAAGGACCTTGCCAACACGCTGGGTCTCAACATTGATGACTTCAATCAGCGCATCAAGGTCCACGACCATTTGGCCAACCTGGTACTTCAATTTCTTCAACAACATCACACCTCTCTCGCACCTGCTGCCCAGAATGATGACATGGTCAAGAAGTTCAATGATTTGAATCGTGCGCATGAACTTCTCCAAGCTCAGTATTCCGCATCACTTCGCGCATCGACCTCGCCCACGATGACAAATCAGAAAGATGATGCAGAGTTGGTTACACCGCCACCGGTCAACCACACACCATCCTCGTCACCTGCCAGCTCCCTTCCCACAGCCAGCGCGGCCGCCCTGGATGGCAAGTCGTTTGATAGCGTGGTGCAACCACGGATCATGCAGTCTCTTCACGGAGTGTCGTCACCGCCGTCCAAACCGGCGGCGTCACAGTTGCTCACCATGCACAGCACGCCGGATGAAGTTGTCAAGTACTACACATGGACCAGTGACCAACCTCGCCATTTCCTCAAGCAAGCACCCACAACAACCACTTTGGCGTCGCTGGTTAAGTGGGCCGGCTCTCAATCTCCCGGCCCGGCTTCTCTAACGGCAACAAGTCATTAGATTCTATGGCGACGCAGCTTCTTCAGGCCAGGCAGCGCATGCCGAAGGGCGATGCGCCCACACTCGGTGCAATGGCAGCATTATGGGGTCTTGAACCCGGGTACCTTACCAAACTCACCGAGAAGGCATTGAGTCACCTCATCGTGACCGCTCGCCTGCTTTGTGGATGAGAAGGCATCATTTCGACCTTCGATCTCATATGAGCCCGGAGCGGCAACAATGTCACGGATAAGTCCAGGTGAAAATTCGTCCGTCAAGTGTTTGCGTTGCACATGATTGATCTTGTACTTGCTTGTTCTTGCGTTGCCTCTTGTGTGATTGTCTGAGATGCTTGTATTTATGTCGCCGCCTTGTGGTAGATTTCGTTGGTTGCATCTCACCATGTTGGATGAACTTCGCCACTGCGGAATCTATGATGATGTTGCACAATGGCAGTCGCTGGACGACCTTCTGCACTCGTTGACTACATTCTCGACGTGCTGGCATTACTGTTTCCCTGGACTACCACCACCGTCGATTCCACTTGAGGAGTACGAATCCATCACACAATTGCCGTGGCTGGGTCTCATCCTCGAGGTCTTAGTTGTGGTCCGGATAGCCCTCCAGATTCCGAATTGCGCTCCAACTCTCAGCACACAGTGGCCAACAGGTACGAACTTCACAGATGTCGGTGCGCTGCCTATTTATTGATCAGTTTCTTACAACGGCTCATTTCACAGGATCACGGCTACTTCCCGCCGTTCTTCGAAGTCCTTCACTTCTACAAGACTTCTCTCTTGTGTGAAATCATGCACTCAACTTTCGCTGACACGCGACATCTACGCTCATTGCGGGCGCGATTTCCTGACCTCTACGACTTCATACATGATCCAGGTCATCACCAACAACCGTGCGTCTACATTCGACTTTCCCCATGGCACGCACCATACTATGTTGGGGCGACTGATCAGGATGTTCTACGTCGTGAACACTCACGCAGTCGCAAATTTCTACAACTACTTCGTGGACGGCATGCCTTCTTTGAACCAGCGCTTCACTACTGGAAACGATCCAATACTTACTGGCTCTTCTGTGCTGTACCAGTGGAAATCAGACTTCCAGTTTCCTCGGTGTGGGTTCAAGAAAGCAAATGGCAATACCTGCTACGCCCGCATTTGAATGCGCCCT